ACACTGGGAGAAGGACTCATGCGTACATCCCAACGATCGCCCGTCGTAAAAAAGCCAGCCACTACATCCCGAACGCACAAACGACCCAGGTCCTCACGGGCCATGGTAATTTCGCAGCTTATCTCTTCCGATTCGGAAAAACTGATACCAACACTTGTGAATGCAACAATGCCAGTGAAGGGACAGTAGAGCACTTTCTCTATGACTGCGCAAAGCACAAAAAGAAAAGACTGCCTTTCATAGGTAAATGTCTTGCAGAAGGTCAGAACTGGCCTCCAAAAACAGCCGAAGTTTTCAGCAACAACAAACATTGGAGAGGACTCTCGGACTACATCCACAGTACAGCAACCCTCAACGCCAGTAATCCCGGCAACAGCAACGCAACCTAGCCATCAAAGAATCATCGCTGGACCTCCCTGTATGGACTAATGACCGTCACCTCCATCCCAATTGTATTGTCATTGGGTGTCAATACAGGCACTACTGTAAATTACTGTATTCACTGTATCATCCTAATGTAACCCACCAATCATTAATAATATCTCAACATGTAAATACGCGTTTTATTTTGTTCCTTTTAATGTTTATATCCCTGATGTATTATGTTTTTTTCCTAATTAATAAATGCGATGCAAGACCTCATGGTACCCCATGCCTTCCCTTCACACTTTCCTATCTCCCTTTATCTCTTCCCTCTTCCTACATCTCTAACTTTACTCCTTCCTTCAATTCAAAAGCGCAAAGTCTGTAGCTTGATTACAGACAGCTCTCTTACAATTTTTAATCTGATGTCTGATGTCCATCTCTGGACGATACCTGCAAATGGAAAGGCGTCTATCAACAGGTGGTCCCTCATCTGACAGAAAAACACCCAAAAATAAAACATTTAAAACACGACGCTGTTAAGATGGCCCTCATAGGATTGGAAGAAACCCAACCTCTTACTTGGGTGGCCCGCCTTCATTGTTTTTAACGAGATTTTCTGATTCAAATTCTTAAAACAGAAAAAGTAGACGAAAAATCCCCCCTCTATATTATAATTCGAAATGTAGGAAGTCGCCGGGAATCAGGACAATTTAAAGGAAAAATCGAAGTCCGAAGGCGAGGAAAACTTATGTTATGGGAATCTATAAACCGAAGTATAACCGGAGACCTGAAGTTTTTAATCCGAATGAGAGCCTGTATGACACTGAGCATACAAATGTTAGAGCGAATGCTCGAGGACAAAGTTCTGACCGTCATCGTGACGATCTTGCCCTCGTGCACTCGATAAACAGTAGAGACGTCTGAACCAGACACAGAAGGGAGAACACAGATCGAAGAAGAAAAAGAGGAGAACCCACTTGCGGAAATTTCTCAGTAAACCTAAAAGGCAGTGCGAGACAAGAACTGTATCTTTTTGAAAAAAAAATAAATAAAACACAAATGTTTTAAGGAACTAGGACGCACTGCTAGACACTAAACCTGTTTCCTTTTGTGTTGACAGACAAGGCCATGGCAGAGTCGTCGGGATGGTGGGACTCTGAGGAAACAGATTTTGACCGCGTTCGCTCTCTCTTCCAATGGTCAGGGGAGGAAAGGAGAATGGTAAGTCCTATACCTGTTCCACACGCCATTCAGCGAATTTTAAATTCCCCTGACGCAAAGTATCCAGAACTGCTCATCCTGCCCCAGGAAATGGACGTTCCACCAGACCTGCAGCGAGAGGTCGACGAAGCTGTGACCTTCGCAGCTGAGAGGGCTCAGGGCCTCCAGGAAACGACACACTCATCTCTATGCAGACTAAATATTAGGGATTGCGAAGGATCTAGATCTTCGAGTTCGATAACCCGTAGAGCTTTTTCACCTCAAGTCCAACGAGAAAGGGGGCGAGGTCGAGAATTATGGGAAAGGTCACAAAGGATTTTGCAGGAGCAGGAACAACGGTATCGAGCGGCGGGAAGAGCGAGAAGCTGACACCCGCCACGCCATTAGACAAAACAAGGAACCCATTAGTCAGAAGGACACTCCGAGAAAAAAAATTTTTTTGAGAAAAATGTGTCAAACTTGAAAAAAAAATATATTATAGCCTATATGTTTTATACCTTAAATTCAAATTTGTAATCCATTTTTCATTTTATTTTATATCTTATGTTATATCTGCTATTAAACCTTTTTTACTTATACAAATTTGTTTTATTTGACAACTAATTCGTATACTTAATCGACGCGAAAAAAAGCTTAGGAAACGTATGAAAAACGCGTGCGAATAAACAATATTTTCGAACGGTCATTAAAATTTAATTGTAGCAACAAAAAAAAGTAAACAATTGAAGTTTTCTTCGATCAAATGATCTGTTGAAAAAGAAAACATTTCGATGTAACGCGAGATCAAGCACACACGAAAGAATAACAAAACTGTAGACCATTGTTGATATTATGTCACTTCTGTAAAGACAGAAGCATGGACTGAAAGCTTCCAGATCTGACAGGTAAAATGTCGTTAACCTTGGAGCCACATTTTAAAATGGCGGGGAGCCCTGTGAGGCTCCAAAAATGAGTTGAAATTAAACATTTATTATTAGAAATTTATTAAAACGAAACTAAAAAAATCGTCTATTGTTAAAAACCGATCAAAGATCGAAATTATTATGTTAGTCATATGAAACCACGAGAGAAAAAAAAACTTTATTGATGTAAACAGAATGTAATAATTTTAAATGATTAATAATTGTAAACGAACGACCTCCAGTAGAGATGGACCTTTGAAAAGTCGCTCATATGCACATAATTAAAACATAGAAATTTTGAAAAGAGGAAAGATTAATGACGAAAAAAGGACATCGCATCGTGTCGTTAAATATCAAAAACGTCACAGACTAGACAACAATGGTGGAAAATATGAGCACAAGTTTCAAAGTTTCATCAGCATTTTGCATCCAGAGTTACAATGGTGTCAGGTAAATTTTTCAAGGCGGATCTTTCTGGTGACTCGAAAAGGAATCGTTTTTCGCTTAGAGACAGACGAAGGAAGCCAATCAGAAAACAAAACCAAGAGCAAAGATTGATATATCCTTGATCTTGAAGGACAAAAGGAGACACTCGGCAAGACTGCACTCGACACAACACTCGGCAAGTCAAGACAAAAGTGTGTGAAAATCGGAAGTGCTGTGTCAAATAAAAACTGGAGATGAATCTTTTTCGTCTGGGTGCCGATACCAAAATCCTGCTGTCGCCGACCAACGGAGTCTCACTAACCCGAAAACATCACTGCCTCGAGGCCGCCTAAGCAATAAACTACTACAGGAGCATCGATGCTATCGACATCCAAACAGCCGATTGTATCTGGACAATATTTGTTCCTTAGTGTGAGTTTAATTTTATGTTTAAAATAAACAGGTTTTTGTGAGATTCTTGTCCTCTGTGTCTCCTCCGCCACACCCACACGCGTACGACCCTAGATCATTCTGACACGGGATTAACGATTCCCCCCAGGATGTCGGCAAACTTACATCGGCTCTCGACATAAATATTGCACAACTTTCGAGGCAATTAGAGACATTAGGGAAAAGATTAGATCAACAGCCTGCGCCAAAGCAAACAAACGGCTTCTGACGAGAAAAAAGCTCGTGAACAAATCGAACTAAAGAAGCTGAAAGGGCGAACAATGGTATGCGAAACCCACGTTATGCCCCGAGCCTGAAGCGTCGTCCACCCAACAATTTTCCTAGCGATCACTGCCGCCTTCCTGCAATGACAACTCCGCGCGCAATACCCCTTTTATATTTAATATACGGAACATGGCTCAATTTCCCCATGGAGAGCAAACGGAGATCGATACTTACAAACTTTTTCGCCGAATTTGAATCCATTAGAGTACGCTCCATTACCCTCCAAATGGTATGGAAGAAATGTCCCTCCACCATATCAGGAAAGGTGGGGAGCAAAGCGCGACGCTCCCGAATAGGTAGTCCCCATACGAAACGTGCCAACCCCTTTCAAACCAATCAATTAAAACAGATACCCTTTTATCAGGCACGATTCAGGCAATTCGAACCTGAAAGTTGCGGGAGTTTTGCGCCCTTTCCATTTTATCCACCGCGTTATAGTCAAGGGATTACAGGACGTGGCTTCGATGCTGAACGAACGCCACCCCTTCTGGATTTTCAGCATTACCTGCTCCTAAATGTAACTCGTCAGGAAATAAACAACCGCAAGAATCAGATAGAGTCACATCGGTACAATTTCGAGAACGAAGTCGCGATGTAGAACGACCACCAGAAGGCTCAGTTCAATCCCATTAGCGGGAATAAACGAATCGAAAGGTAGAAATTTGCCTCCCTGTGCGATGATTTGCGAAAAATCGAGGATAGAGAGGTATGGTTGACAATAGACACGGGCGCAGCGATTACCCTAATATCTCGAACACTTTTCCCCAACATAGAACAATTACCGCGAGCCGAAACGAAAACGGTAGAATTAGTTAGTGTTACCGGTCACGTTATACAGACAATCGGAAAGTTTAGATTAAAATTTAGTATCGGAGGATTAGTCTTTTATCATGATTGTTATTTGGTAAGGCCCAAAATCACCGAGCCAGACGAGGAAATTTTTGGTAGAGACATCATTGAATTGTACGACGTATCGATTTCCACTAGAAACGCAACACTTAGTTTTCCCTCGGGCGATATTGTATTTTTTTGGGTTTAGCCGAGATAAGAGAAACAGACAAACATCGTAGTACAAAGGAATCTATCGAAAACAGTCTGAAGCAAATTGATACAAAAAGAGACGATTTAAATATAACTTTAACTAACGAAGACAAGAATAAAACTAGAAAAAACGGGGAAACGAAAAAGAAAAACAAACGCGCTGGAAATAATAAGCGAAAAATAAAAGGAGAGAAGGAAAACAAACAACCTTTAATAGCTTAGTGCAGGGAGAGAACGACTCTCCTAAGGAAGTGACGTTAGCTGACGATTACGTCATTCCCCCGCGGTCAGAGGTCATAGTGGAGGGGAAAGTCCACTCTCTGGTGACTAATAAAGTGGGAGTCGTTGAACCGACACCTCCCGATAGCAAGGGAGTGAATACGCCTTGTTCATGGCAGATGAACCGACTGTTAATAAATTATGTAAGAGAAACGTTACCGTGTATCCAAAGCCATTATTTCGTCGCATCGACAAGGAAGGGACTTGGATATATTCCACCCCGTCACCTTTAAATTTAGTTATGGAATGTAACCAAATGAGTAGCTCAATGCAACCACAAGTTAAAATGATCAAATTAAACAATACAGGAATTTTTTAAAATTACCTATGACTTGTGTTGGCCACGTACCCGGCATACGTCTTATGTCTCACTTTCAAGCACAGATCACATTGAAGATTGCCCTTCGAAACCATTACGTAATACCAGCGATAACGGATGTTAACAATTTTACAGAAATTAAGATCCTACAAGAATACATCCAGAAAAACGTTACCTCAAGCGTTCTACACTCTAATGAACGCGATTGGACTCTGGAATTTTCTGGTCGAATGCTTCGAGATATAAGTCAAAAGATAAGATAAATGAAGATCGATACCACGTTTTCAAAACCATCAAATGTATGGACTTATCCATTCTCCACATGGAGTTTGACATTCATAATCCCTATTGTTGTCATCGTAGTTGCTCTCGTGATTGGAGCTGTTTTAAACGATCAAGCTGTCGAAAAGAACGAAAACCAGCGATCACATATCTCCTTCCCTGTCAGGAAAAACGAGCGGAGTCTGCTTCAAGGGAAATGATCGAATTGGCGCCAGTAGCCGTGGAGACGAGTCCACCTTCAAGGACTTTAGAGGTGTTAGAAGTCAATCAACAAATGCTGATGAGACCCAATCGGAAAGAGTCCGTCACACTTCCCGCTGGAGTCGAAACTATTCCTACTCAAATGAGACGTTTATAAAATCGCGAAGAAGCATCTGTATCTCCTTAGCGATAATCTCGTGTACAGTTTCACCAGAGAAAAGACTAAGACTCAACTATCTTTCTTTTCCTTTATTTAGAATGAACCATGGAAAGACAGACAGCAACGACGTTCTCGGAGACAAACAACAACAGACCGGGAGCCTCTCAACGTTTCCTTTCGGACCCCGCACTGGTCGTCCTGTTCGAGTGTCCAGTGTGTTATGAATACATGTCGCCCCAATGTTCCAGTGTCAGGCAGGCCATATGATTTACTCTCGATGCAAGACCGGTATAAACTTTCTAGTCGCGCTGGATTATTAGTTAGGCAGTGAGTGGATGTGCTCCGTTTTTGGATCGCCGCATCGGTGTTACTTTTGATCAATTAGTGGATTAACTTATATCGCCGGATTCGTCTCTTCACGAGCTGTCGAACGACTTCGGATTTTTCCGGATCGGACCAACGGTTCAGTAGTTAGGACCCCCGGAATTTTTGTGTTTTCCGTCCGCCATTTCCGGGCGAATTCCGCCGGTAAGAGGTAGTGTAATAAACCATTTTTCTCGGCTTTTTACGGGCTTTCCAACGCCGTCATTGGTTTTTCGCTCCGACGTTTTGTTCACGCTCTACAACGACCGAAAGTAGTCACGGTTCGAGCCGTCGTGCGGGCTTCTCGGGCCACCGTTCTCTTTCTTATTCGGGCAGTTCCTTTATCTATGTATTAACTACCTGTGTACTAAATTTCATGTGTCCATGTATATTAGTCTTAAAATAACGAGCGATCTTAAATCTGTACCAGACAAAGGAGTCAATGGTCGTTGACCTCTGCACGTGGCCGGGTCAAGTACCCTAACCGACCCTAATTCAGTGGGTGTTCGTCTCGTTTTTCGGGTCTCGCTGGTCACATCGTCCTAGGTTACCCGAGTTTGTATATTGTCGGGCTGTTTTTGTATTTTTTCCGTGTCTTCACGACGAATCTTTGATGATGGATCGCCCAGAGATGGATTTCTTAGAGACAATCACCCAGGGACTCGATATAATTATGCAAGCTTTACCGGCGAACTACCATGGCTCGGTATCAGTGAGCAATAGGAAAGCCATCAGGCGAGCAGCGTTCGATATGCACGCTGCCGCTAATAGTATCTACGGTATTGTGCTAGACCTAAGGACCAAAAAAGGTGCAGGAGAGGGTAACAGCAGCTACGCGGAAGTGGCAAAAAGGGGGTCCACCTCTCATAGAGGAAGCCGTACCACAAATATAATAACTGACACTACTGCTACATCCCAGTAAAAGGAGAAGACACAAGACTTAATGATAGTGTCAACAGTGACAAAAGAAGGGAAAGATCTATGTCTAGAGGAGATGATGAATGTTATAAGTGAAACGATAGACCCAGCAAGTCTAGGCATAAGCATGAGGCAAGTATCGGCTGTTCCTGGCAAGGGAATTAAGTTCCGGGTTAAAACGGAAAGGGATGCAAAAAACCTGCAAGAGGCAATTGAGAAATTACCAGAGCTGAACGAGAGGGTAAGGATGACTAGGCTCGAACGAAGAAGACCTAGAGTGATTTTCTTAAACGTACCGGCTGTGAAGGGAAAAGAGGCGCTAATTAAAAAACTATACGAACAGAACGAGGAAATACGGAACAAATATTCTGAAGAGGCTTTTGAGCAAGAAATAAAAATTACGCATGGGATAAACTCCAAGACAAAACCAGGATACAGACACGTGATGATGTCAGTGCACCCAGCACTGCGTAATATACTAATTAATATGAGACGGGTAAGCTATGAATGGGGCACTCTGGTGGTCGACGACTATATCCCCATAGTCAGGTTCTACCGATGTACTGGATTCAGGCATATGGCGGCATCCTGCGACCACAGAGAGCGCTGTAGTCATTGCACCAAGCGCCATAAGTTTAAGGACTGTGGAAACCAACAAGATACACCTACATGTATCAATTGTGTGAAAGCAAATAAAGGGCAACAAAACGATCACATATACGATACAAACCATAATGCCTTCTCGCCGTTCTGTCCAGTCTTAAAATCTTACAAGAAATTACTGGTGAAACAAACCAATTATGAATAAAACAAATACTATTCCCTCTACAACTAGACAAAGTCACAACATCATGGATAACGGTAACTTTAAAATCTTACAAATAAACACTCAAAAGAGCCAGGCAGCCTCTTCACTTGTTATAAAATCGGCAAACGACTTGAACGCGGACATTGTCCTCATCCAAGAACCTTACACCATAAAGGATCAAATTGTAAGGTTCGGTACTTGGCAAGTTTTGTACAAAAATACTGATGGTGAAAGGCCGAAACGTGGAATAATTGTCAGGAACAACCAAGTCAGCATTGCATTAATACCCGAGCTCAGCTCCAACCGGATTACCACAGCGGCACTCCACCAAGGACCCGTGGACTACATATTAAGCATATATTTCTCACCCTTCGACAGTGACGAAGATTGTGTTGAGGAGCTAGCCTCGGTTTTGAGGAAACTAGAAAAGAATACGTATATTATGCAATGCAAAATTTCTCATATAGTATCATGAGATAAAAGATAACAGAGGAGGCTGTTGCAAGACCTGTTAAATGAAATAGATGATATCTCCCTCAACACTTCTGATATCCCCACCTTTCAGACTGCAAGGGCAAAGGGCTGGACGGACGTCTGTCTGGCGCCCACTGGGGTGGGAAGTAATATCATAAGTTGCAATACCCTCCTCAAAGACTCCGCAAGTGACTACTGATATATTCTGACAACAATTAAAAATGACTACCAGCAAGGGGCTCAGACAAATAAATACTATAGCAAAATTACCAACAGAAATCTATTTCAAGAAATCTTCGCTAGACAGTGGAGGGAATATCGATTTACAGAAAACAGAAACCAAGAAGACATCGATCACTATGTTAACCACATCACTTACTCAATCACCTATGCCCACAGTCAATCATCGAAGCTGAAAAGTAGAGTCCCGCACTCATTGGTGGGATGAGAACTTTGAAAACGATAAAAAGAGAGTGAGGAAACTCAGGAAGAAGTTGCTTAGGGAAAGCAATGGTGCACGAAAGGAACAAAGAGGAAAAGAATACACGGAGGCCTTAAAAGCATATAAAAATAACATAAATAAAACCAGGTCAAATGGCTGGCGCAAGTTCTGTAAAGACCCAACTAACGACCTATGGGGTGAACCATATAGGATTACATTTAAGAAAAAGAAAGGGGCAGCAATTTCGAATATCTTCACATCCCCTGGTAACACAAACAGTAGTAATTATCACATAAGTAGGAACATAACAAAACTCCTTGACTTCCATTTTCTGGCCGACGACCCGATAAAGGATAAACGCAGCCACAGGCGTATTTGCTCTGAATTATTAGAGGAGGCAGATGGGGAAGATGACAGATGGTTTACTTTCGGGGAGGTCCGCCAAGCTATCAATACTCTGGCAAATAAAAAGGCGCCGGGGCATGACAAGATAACAGCAGAGATGGTTAAGAAGGTCTTCGAGGCGATCCCCATTGCCTTCGTTGTCCTCTACAACGATTGCCTCCATCAAGGCTGCTTACCGGATACCTGGAAGTTAGCATGCATTAAATTCATTCCTAAGACAGTCAATCCTACAGCGGAAAAAAAATACAGACCAATAAGCCTTCTTCAGGTTTTGGTTAAGGTGCTGGATGGCCTCATCGTAGGAAGGATTAACTGGCACCTAATAAGCAAGGGTCATATGAATGATGGGCAGTATGGATTCAGGCCGGAAAAATCCACAATCGATGCAATTGTGAGGGTCGTAAAAGCGCGTAGAAATTTCGACTAATTACAAACTTTAACGTCAGAAAGTTTCAAAGACAGAATCGGGTCAAGGGAATGTGTTAGTGACAAAGCCCAGATGAGACGAAAACTTTCTCGAATTGTAAAACAAACGCGACGCGACGATAAATAACAGGGGGGAATGTCGACAGAGAAAGGGAGAGCTTTGTCGAGATGCGCGCGAACAAATAGCTGGTTGAAGCAAGCGGGAGAAAGGGGGTCTAAGAACAAAAGGAATATCTGTTAAGTGAGAACGCGGTAGGGGATAAAATGGTCACAAGAACATCTGGTGGACCGTTTGGGTTCAAAGATGACAGAGAAAAGGGACATAACGGAGTAAAATACGAGTGCGAACGTTAAACGACCGTCATCACCTCTCCGACCTTTTCCCGACCCGAATCGGTCTCGGGTTTCGCCTAGAAACAAAGGAATGACCAATCGGGGTAAGGGAGAGGGTGAAAGAGACCAATCAAAAGGGTGAGATTCAAGGAAAATCTTATAAAAACCCCGAATCTCAAGGACAGGGCGGCGATTCTCCCCAAAGACGAGTGCCAAGAAGACGCCAGGTCATCCGTACACGACCGTCCAAGCTTCTCCGCACACTCAGAGGAAGGAAGAGTATATCCGAACACCGGACATCGCCCGTTCTCTGTCGGACTCTTCTTCAAGGAAGCCCCGGGGCACTCAACAGCATCTGCCGGCCAACAGTCCCAATTTTTGTTATTCATAATATGTAAGTTAACTTCATGTCAAAATAAACGGTTTTGTGTAAGACACTTGTCATCTCTGTCTCCTACCGCCACCACCCACATACGGTTTGACCCTAGGTTTTCCTGACGCGCAATTAACGTATTGCCCCCAAAATCGGCGAACTTACAGTAGTGTCAGAAGTGGGATTTTAAGCCCAATTTATACCAGTTCTGACCTTACAGTTGTGTCAGAAGCTCGGGATTTAATAGTCCCAACCAAAAATTTGAGTAAGTTACGCCGACAAAGAGTTTTTCTAAAAAGTGGGTCGAGCAATGGAGGCAGATGCAAGTGTCCCGACGCGACCTCGTGACGGTGGCAGTAGCGGCTCTCTTCCCTCCTTTTCNATTGTAAACGAACGACCTCCAGTAGAGATGGACCTTTGAAAAGTCGCTCATATGCACATAATTAAAACATAGAAATTTTGAAAAGAGGAAAGATTAATGACGAAAAAAGGACATCGCATCGTGTCGTTAAATATCAAAAACGTCACAGACTAGACAACAATGGTGGAAAATATGAGCACAAGTTTCAAAGTTTCATCAGCATTTTGCATCCAGAGTTACAATGGTGTCAGGTAAATTTTTCAAGGCGGATCTTTCTGGTGACTCGAAAAGGAATCGTTTTTCGCTTAGAGACAGACGAAGGAAGCCAATCAGAAAACAAAACCAAGAGCAAAGATTGATATATCCTTGATCTTGAAGGACAAAAGGAGACACTCGGCAAGACTGCACTCGACACAACACTCGGCAAGTCAAGACAAAAGTGTGTGAAAATCGGAAGTGCTGTGTCAAATAAAAACTGGAGATGAATCTTTTTCGTCTGGGTGCCGATACCAAAATCCTGCTGTCGCCGACCAACGGAGTCTCACTAACCCGAAAACATCACTGCCTCGAGGCCGCCTAAGCAATAAACTACTACAGGAGCATCGATGCTATCGACATCCAAACAGCCGATTGTATCTGGACAATATTTGTTCCTTAGTGTGAGTTTAATTTTATGTTTAAAATAAACAGGTTTTTGTGAGATTCTTGTCCTCTGTGTCTCCTCCGCCACACCCACACGCGTACGACCCTAGATCATTCTGACACGGGATTAACGATTCCCCCCAGGATGTCGGCAAACTTACATCGGCTCTCGACATAAATATTGCACAACTTTCGAGGCAATTAGAGACATTAGGGAAAAGATTAGATCAACAGCCTGCGCCAAAGCAAACAAACGGCTTCTGACGAGAAAAAAGCTCGTGAACAAATCGAACTAAAGAAGCTGAAAGGGCGAACAATGGTATGCGAAACCCACGTTATGCCCCGAGCCTGAAGCGTCGTCCACCCAACAATTTTCCTAGCGATCACTGCCGCCTTCCTGCAATGACAACTCCGCGCGCAATACCCCTTTTATATTTAATATACGGAACATGGCTCAATTTCCCCATGGAGAGCAAACGGAGATCGATACTTACAAACTTTTTCGCCGAATTTGAATCCATTAGAGTACGCTCCATTACCCTCCAAATGGTATGGAAGAAATGTCCCTCCACCATATCAGGAAAGGTGGGGAGCAAAGCGCGACGCTCCCGAATAGGTAGTCCCCATACGAAACGTGCCAACCCCTTTCAAACCAATCAATTAAAACAGATACCCTTTTATCAGGCACGATTCAGGCAATTCGAACCTGAAAGTTGCGGGAGTTTTGCGCCCTTTCCATTTTATCCACCGCGTTATAGTCAAGGGATTACAGGACGTGGCTTCGATGCTGAACGAACGCCACCCCTTCTGGATTTTCAGCATTACCTGCTCCTAAATGTAACTCGTCAGGAAATAAACAACCGCAAGAATCAGATAGAGTCACATCGGTACAATTTCGAGAACGAAGTCGCGATGTAGAACGACCACCAGAAGGCTCAGTTCAATCCCATTAGCGGGAATAAACGAATCGAAAGGTAGAAATTTGCCTCCCTGTGCGATGATTTGCGAAAAATCGAGGATAGAGAGGTATGGTTGACAATAGACACGGGCGCAGCGATTACCCTAATATCTCGAACACTTTTCCCCAACATAGAACAATTACCGCGAGCCGAAACGAAAACGGTAGAATTAGTTAGTGTTACCGGTCACGTTATACAGACAATCGGAAAGTTTAGATTAAAATTTAGTATCGGAGGATTAGTCTTTTATCATGATTGTTATTTGGTAAGGCCCAAAATCACCGAGCCAGACGAGGAAATTTTTGGTAGAGACATCATTGAATTGTACGACGTATCGATTTCCACTAGAAACGCAACACTTAGTTTTCCCTCGGGCGATATTGTATTTTTTTGGGTTTAGCCGAGATAAGAGAAACAGACAAACATCGTAGTACAAAGGAATCTATCGAAAACAGTCTGAAGCAAATTGATACAAAAAGAGACGATTTAAATATAACTTTAACTAACGAAGACAAGAATAAAACTAGAAAAAACGGGGAAACGAAAAAGAAAAACAAACGCGCTGGAAATAATAAGCGAAAAATAAAAGGAGAGAAGGAAAACAAACAACCTTTAATAGCTTAGTGCAGGGAGAGAACGACTCTCCTAAGGAAGTGACGTTAGCTGACGATTACGTCATTCCCCCGCGGTCAGAGGTCATAGTGGAGGGGAAAGTCCACTCTCTGGTGACTAATAAAGTGGGAGTCGTTGAACCGACACCTCCCGATAGCAAGGGAGTGAATACNGTTCAGCTGACGATAGACACAGGCGCAGCTGTTACTTTAATTTCTAGAGAGTTATTTCCCGATACATCGCGATTGCCGCGAGCTGAAACTAAAATAGTAGAATTAATAAGTGTTACCAGACACGTTATCAAGACATTCGGAAAGTTTAAATTGAAATTCCAAATCGGACGTTTGACCTTTTTCCATGATTGTTATTTAGTGCACCCCGAGATCACTACGCCTAACGATGGAATCTTAGGTAGGGATATTATTCAGAAATACGACGTTACAATCTCGGTTAAGAACGCGACCCTTAGTTTCCCCTCAGGAGACACAGTGACCTTTTGGGGACTAGCCGAAATAAAAGAAAACGGAGATAGTTCAGAATTAAATGAAAACGTTGAGAATAATCGCGAGAAAACTAGCGAAAAGAAACGCGTACCGTCGAAAGATAATTTGAATTTAACCTTAATTAGCGATAATAAAAACAAAAATATAGAAAACGCGGAAATGAAAAAGAAAAATAAACGCGCGCGAAATAAAAAGCAAAAAACAAAACGAGAGAAGTCAAAACAAACAACTATTAATAGCCTATAGCAGGGAGGGAACGACTCTCCTAAGGAGGTGACGTTAGCCAACGATTACGTCATCCCTCCACGGTCAGAGGTCATTGTAGAAGGGAAAGTTTATTCCCAGTTAACAGGTCAATTAGGAGTTGTTGAACCGACACCTCCCAAGCGAGAGGGATGTTTATTGCCTGTATGTTAGTCAAAACACAAAGGCATGGTCAAGTACCTATTAGAATAATGAATGTAAAAACACAACCAGTTAAATTGGTCAGAGGAAGTAAGTTAAGAACTTTTCTCTTAGCGGAAAAAGAAACAAAAGAAAGCGCGGAACAAAATAAAATGACGCGATTAAACGAAAACGATTTAACTAGAGAGCAATTTGCGAATTTGTTTAATTTTAGCGAAGTAGAAAAGGATAAGCTGACCCCTTTATTAGATTTATTATATGAATATAAGCATGTATTCGCGAAAAAAGACGATTTTGATTTAGGTTATTGTGACTTAGTAGAGCATAAGATAGATACCGGGAATAATCCCCCGATATGTCGTGCCCCATATCGAATTCCATATGCCCAGAGAAAAATAATGGATGAGTTAGTGGTTAAATGATTAAAAGTGGGGTAGTAGAACCTTCTAGCTCCCCATGGGCATTTCCAGCATTAATGGTCCGTAAATCTGATTCGTCGTATAGAATGGTGGTGGATTATCATCAATTAAATAAAATTACCCAATTAGACCCTTATCCGTTGCCCCATGAAAAAGATGCGAAAGAAATTACAGACACAGTTTTTTTGGCCGGAAATGAATAAAAACATAGCCTATTATTGCGATAGCTATCAACAATGTGCAATGAGGAAAAGGCCCCAACACAGACATCAAGCTCCACTGCAGACGTTCCCGCGAGTGTCAAGACTCTTCGAGCGCACTGCACTGGATATCCAGGGCCCCCTTCCTATCACTAGTAACGGCAACAAATATCTATTAGTCTTTATCAATCATTTTTCTAGATGGGCCGAGGCAATCCCATTACCCGATATTACGGGTAACGGGAAAAGCGTTTGTCATGCAAATTATTCTCAGACATTCGGTCCCGAAGCAGTTGTTAACAGATAGAAGATCCAATTTTGTTTCCAAAGTCATGAAAAAGGTATGCGAGTTATTAAAAGTAGAGAGACTTCTTACTACAGCATATCACCCCCAGTGTAACGGAATGGTAGAACGCCTTAATAAGACCCTAATAGATATTTTGACTCATTATGTTGACGCGGATCAGCGCAATTGGGATGAAATGATCCTTTATGCTCTTTTCGCGTACAATACTACTGTGCATTCGAGCACGAATGAAACGCCCTTTTTCCTTTTGTATAAACGCGATCCAACTTACCCCTTTGACATCGTTATTGAACCTAATCGACCTCGATATGATCTAAGTGAAAATTACGCGAGCGAATTGAGAGCGAGGATGGCCTCAGCTCACAAATTAGCCCAGAAACACGCAGAAAAGGCTGCGTACGATAGGAATACATATCACCAACGTAAGCATAAGCCATATAAATTCTCAATCAGAAACAGAGTTTTCGTTAATGAGGAAGCTATACCCGCGGGAGTAAAGTGAAAATTAGCCCCGCGATGGCACGGTCCCTATAGAATAATCACGGAAACGAGTCCTGTAGATTTTATAGTCCAACACATCCAATCCAAAAAGAAATTGCGTACACATGCTAATAGGATAAAAACTGCAATCGCTAGGTTGGAATTCGTACCACCAGATGCAGGAGAAAAAAACCTAGATGCGAGAAACGCCGATCCTTCACCCCTAACAGAGGAACAACCTCAGACAGAACAGGTTGACCCCTGGGATGAAATTGTTTTAGAGTCACTGCAACAAAGTCAGTTAGATACCACAAACACTGCCGGAGACACAAAAGTTAAACCACCCGTGACTTCGTCGCAACCTACACACAACTATGCTTTCCGAAGTCAAGGACCAGTAAGCGAGTATCCCTGGGTCTTTCCTAAATCTTCGGGAATTGTACCACCACAGGTGGGAGTGTTAAGAGACGCAGAGGTCAGCGAAATCACTCAGCAGAGTGAAGACCTCCCGCGGCTGCCACACCCTACTCCAACTGGATTGTTCGCTGATTGTAAATGGTAGCTTCTCTTTCTTATGAGAGAGAGAGGGTATCATCTTCCAAATGGAGCGAGGTCTATTGTAAATACGCGTGCTCATCTAAATCAATTGTCGCGAAATCAATCTAATAATAATGTAAACTCCCTTTTTGGTACATAACGATGGGAAAATTTATAGTAATCTATTTGTTCATATTGCTGAGTCGCACTGTAAGCGACGTATCGACGATTNTGCTGTGTCAAATAAAAACTGGAGATGAATCTTTTTCGTCTGGGTGCCGATACCAAAATCCTGCTGTCGCCGACCAACGGAGTCTCACTAACCCGAAAACATCACTGCCTCGAGGCCGCCTAAGCAATAAACTACTACAGGAGCATCGATGCTATCGACATCCAAACAGCCGATTGTATCTGGACAATATTTGTTCCTTAGTGTGAGTTTAATTTTATGTTTAAAATAAACAGGTTTTTGTGAGATTCTTGTCCTCTGTGTCTCCTCCGCCACACCCACACGCGTACGACCCTAGATCATTCTGACACGGGATTAACGATTCCCCCCAGGATGTCGGCAAACTTACATCGGCTCTCGACATAAATATTGCACAACTTTCGAGGCAATTAGAGACATTAGGGAAAAGATTAGATCAACAGCCTGCGCCAAAGCAAACAAACGGCTTCTGACGAGAAAAAAGCTCGTGAACAAATCGAACTAAAGAAGCTGAAAGGGCGAACAATGGTATGCGAAACCCACGTTATGCCCCGAGCCTGAAGCGTCGTCCACCCAACAATTTTCCTAGCGATCACTGCCGCCTTCCTGCAATGACAACTCCGCGCGCAATACCCCTTTTATATTTAATATACGGAACATGGCTCAATTTCCCCATGGAGAGCAAACGGAGATCGATACTTACAAACTTTTTCGCCGAATTTGAATCCATTAGAGTACGCTCCATTACCCTCCAAATGGTATGGAAGAAATGTCCCTCCACCATATCAGGAAAGGTGGGGAGCAAAGCGCGACGCTCCCGAATAGGTAGTCCCCATACGAAACGTGCCAACCCCTTTCAAACCAATCAATTAAAACAGATACCCTTTTATCAGGCACGATTCAGGCAATTCGAACCTGAAAGTTGCGGGAGTTTTGCGCCCTTTCCATTTTATCCACCGCGTTATAGTCAAGGGATTACAGGACGTGGCTTCGATGCTGAACGAACGCCACCCCTCGCGACCTTTTCTAAATTTTTAGCATTACCTGCCCCTGAATGTAGCTCGTCAGGAAATAAACAATCGCGAGAATCAGATAGAGTCACATCGGTACAATTTCGAGAACGAAGTCGCGATGTAGAACGACCACCAGAAGGCTCAGTTCAATCCCATTAGCGGGAATAAACGAATCGAAAGGTAGAAATTTGCCTCCCTGTGCGATGATTTGCGAAAAATCGAGGATAGAGAGGTATGGTTGACAATAGACACGGGCGCAGCGATTACCCTAATATCTCGAACACTTTTCCCCAACATAGAACAATTACCGCGAGCCGAAACGAAAACGGTAGAATTAGTTAGTGTTACCGGTCACGTTATACAGACAATCGGAAAGTTTAGATTAAAATTTAGTATCGGAGGATTAGTCTTTTATCATGATTGTTATTTGGTAAGGCCCAAAATCACCGAGCCAGACGAGGAAATTTTTGGTAGAGACATCATTGAATTGTACGACGTCACGATTTCTGTTAGAAACGCAACACTTAGTTTTCCCTCGGGCGATATTGTATTTTTTTGGGTTTAGCCGAGATAAGAGAAACAGACAAACATCGTAGTACAAAGGAATCTATCGAAAACAGTCTGAAGCAAATTGATACAAAAAGAGACGATTTAAATATAACTTTAACTAACGAAGACAAGAATAAAACTAGAAAAAACGGGGAAACGAAAAAGAAAAACAAACGCGCTGGAAATAATAAGCGAAAAATAAAAGGAGAGAAGGAAAACAAACAACCTTTAATAGCTTAGTGCAGGGAGAGAACGACTCTCCTAAGGAAGTGACGTTAGCTGACGATTACGTCATTCCCCCGCGGTCAGAGGTCATAGTGGAGGGGAAAGTCCACTCTCTGGTGACTAATAAAGTGGGAGTCGTTGAACCGACACCTCCCGATAGCAAGGGAGTGAATACGCCTTGTTCATGGCAGATGAACCGACTGTTAATAAATTATGTAAGAGAAACGTTACCGTGTATCCAAAGCCATTATTTCGTCGCATCGACAAGGAAGGGACTTGGATATATTCCACCCCGTCACCTTTAAATTTAGTTATGGAATGTAACCAAATGAGTAGCTCAATGCAACCACAAGTTAAAATGATCAAATTAAACAATACAGGAATTTTTTAAAATTACCTATGACTTGTGTTGGCCACGTACCCGGCATACGTCTTATGTCTCACTTTCAAGCACAGATCACATTGAAGATTGCCCTTCGAAACCATTACGTAATACCAGCGATAACGGATGTTAACAATTTTACAGAAATTAAGATCCTACAAGAATACATCCAGAAAAACGTTACCTCAAGCGTTCTACACTCTAATGAACGCGATTGGACTCTGGAATTTTCTGGTCGAATGCTTCGAGATATAAGTCAAAAGATAAGATAAATGAAGATCGATACCACGTTTTCAAAACCATCAAATGTATGGACTTATCCATTCTCCACATGGAGTTTGACATTCATAATCCCTATTGTTGTCATCGTAGTTGCTCTCGTGATTGGAGCTGTTTTAAACGATCAAGCTGTCGAAAAGAACGAAAACCAGCGATCACATATCTCCTTCCCTGTCAGGAAAAACGAGCGGAGTCTGCTTCAAGGGAAATGATCGAATTGGCGCCAGTAGCCGTGGAGACGAGTCCACCTTCAAGGACTTTAGAGGTGTTAGAAGTCAATCAACAAATGCTGATGAGACCCAATCGGAAAGAGTCCGTCACACTTCCCGCTGGAGTCGAAACTATTCCTACTCAAATGAGACGTTTATAAAATCGCGAAGAAGCATCTGTATCTCCTTAGCGATAATCTCGTGTACAGTTTCACCAGAGAAAAGACTAAGACTCAACTATCTTTCTTTTCCTTTATTTAGAATGAACCATGGAAAGACAGACAGCAACGACGTTCTCGGAGACAAACAACAACAGACCGGGAGCCTCTCAACGTTTCCTTTCGGACCCCGCACTGGTCGTCCTGTTCGAGTGTCCAGTGTGTTATGAATACATGTCGCCCCAATGTTCCAGTGTCAGGCAGGCCATATGATTTACTCTCGATGCAAGACCGGTATAAACTTTCTAGTCGCGCTGGATTATTAGTTAGGCAGTGAGTGGATGTGCTCCGTTTTTGGATCGCCGCATCGGTGTTACTTTTGATCAATTAGTGGATTAACTTATATCGCCGGATTCGTCTCTTCACGAGCTGTCGAACGACTTCGGATTTTTCCGGATCGGACCAACGGTTCAGTAGTTAGGACCCCCGGAATTTTTGTGTTTTCCGTCCGCCATTTCCGGGCGAATTCCGCCGGTAAGAGGTAGTGTAATAAACCATTTTTCTCGGCTTTTTACGGGCTTTCCAACGCCGTCATTGGTTTTTCGCTCCGACGTTTTGTTCACGCTCTACAACGACCGAAAGTAGTCACGGTTCGAGCCGTCGTGCGGGCTTCTCGGGCCACCGTTCTCTTTCTTATTCGGGCAGTTCCTTTATCTATGTATTAACTACCTGTGTACTAAATTTCATGTGTCCATGTATATTAGTCTTAAAATAACGAGCGATCTTAAATCTGTACCAGACAAAGGAGTCAATGGTCGTTGACCTCTGCACGTGGCCGGGTCAAGTACCCTAACCGACCCTAATTCAGTGGGTGTTCGTCTCGTTTTTCGGGTCTCGCTGGTCACATCGTCCTAGGTTACCCGAGTTTGTATATTGTCGGGCTGTTTTTGTATTTTTTCCGTGTCTTCACGACGAATCTTTGATGATGGATCGCCCAGAGATGGATTTCTTAGAGACAATCACCCAGGGACTCGATATAATTATGCAAGCTTTACCGGCGAACTACCATGGCTCGGTATCAGTGAGCAATAGGAAAGCCATCAGGCGAGCAGCGTTCGATATGCACGCTGCCGCTAATAGTATCTACGGTATTGTGCTAGACCTAAGGACCAAAAAAGGTGCAGGAGAGGGTAACAGCAGCTACGCGGAAGTGGCAAAAAGGGGGTCCACCTCTCATAGAGGAAGCCGTACCACAAATATAATAACTGACACTACTGCTACATCCCAGTAAAAGGAGAAGACACAAGACTTAATGATAGTGTCAACAGTGACAAAAGAAGGGAAAGATCTATGTCTAGAGGAGATGATGAATGTTATAAGTGAAACGATAGACCCAGCAAGTCTAGGCATAAGCATGAGGCAAGTATCGGCTGTTCCTGGCAAGGGAATTAAGTTCCGGGTTAAAACGGAAAGGGATGCAAAAAACCTGCAAGAGGCAATTGAGAAATTACCAGAGCTGAACGAGAGGGTAAGGATGACTAGGCTCGAACGAAGAAGACCTAGAGTGATTTTCTTAAACGTACCGGCTGTGAAGGGAAAAGAGGCGCTAATTAAAAAACTATACGAACAGAACGAGGAAATACGGAACAAATATTCTGAAGAGGCTTTTGAGCAAGAAATAAAAATTACGCATGGGATAAACTCCAAGACAAAACCAGGATACAGACACGTGATGATGTCAGTGCACCCAGCACTGCGTAATATACTAATTAATATGAGACGGGTAAGCTATGAATGGGGCACTCTGGTGGTCGACGACTATATCCCCATAGTCAGGTTCTACCGATGTACTGGATTCAGGCATATGGCGGCATCCTGCGACCACAGAGAGCGCTGTAGTCATTGCACCAAGCGCCATAAGTTTAAGGACTGTGGAAACCAACAAGATACACCTACATGTATCAATTGTGTGAAAGCAAATAAAGGGCAACAAAACGATCACATATACGATACAAACCATAATGCCTTCTCGCCGTTCTGTCCAGTCTTAAAATCTTACAAGAAATTACTGGTGAAACAAACCAATTATGAATAAAACAAATACTATTCCCTCTACAACTAGACAAAGTCACAACATCATGGATAACGGTAACTTTAAAATCTTACAAATAAACACTCAAAAGAGCCAGGCAGCCTCTTCACTTGTTATAAAATCGGCAAACGACTTGAACGCGGACATTGTCCTCATCCAAGAACCTTACACCATAAAGGATCAAATTGTAAGGTTCGGTACTTGGCAAGTTTTGTACAAAAATACTGATGGTGAAAGGCCGAAACGTGGAATAATTGTCAGGAACAACCAAGTCAGCATTGCATTAATACCCGAGCTCAGCTCCAACCGGATTACCACAGCGGCACTCCACCAAGGACCCGTGGACTACATATTAAGCATATATTTCTCACCCTTCGACAGTGACGAAGATTGTGTTGAGGAGCTAGCCTCGGTTTTGAGGAAACTAGAAAAGAATACGTATATTATGCAATGCAAAATTTCTCATATAGTATCATGAGATAAAAGATAACAGAGGAGGCTGTTGCAAGACCTGTTAAATGAAATAGATGATATCTCCCTCAACACTTCTGATATCCCCACCTTTCAGACTGCAAGGGCAAAGGGCTGGACGGACGTCTGTCTGGCGCCCACTGGGGTGGGAAGTAATATCATAAGTTGCAATACCCTCCTCAAAGACTCCGCAAGTGACTACTGATATATTCTGACAACAATTAAAAATGACTACCAGCAAGGGGCTCAGACAAATAAATACTATAGCAAAATTACCAACAGAAATCTATTTCAAGAAATCTTCGCTAGACAGTGGAGGGAATATCGATTTACAGAAAACAGAAACCAAGAAGACATCGATCACTATGTTAACCACATCACTTACTCAATCACCTATGCCCACAGTCAATCATCGAAGCTGAAAAGTAGAGTCCCGCACTCATTGGTGGGATGAGAACTTTGAAAACGATAAAAAGAGAGTGAGGAAACTCAGGAAGAAGTTGCTTAGGGAAAGCAATGGTGCACGAAAGGAACAAAGAGGAAAAGAATACACGGAGGCCTTAAAAGCATATAAAAATAACATAAATAAAACCAGGTCAAATGGCTGGCGCAAGTTCTGTAAAGACCCAACTAACGACCTATGGGGTGAACCATATAGGATTACATTTAAGAAAAAGAAAGGGGCAGCAATTTCGAATATCTTCACATCCCCTGGTAACACAAACAGTAGTAATTATCACATAAGTAGGAACATAACAAAACTCCTTGACTTCCATTTTCTGGCCGACGACCCGATAAAGGATAAACGCAGCCACAGGCGTATTTGCTCTGAATTATTAGAGGAGGCAGATGGGGAAGATGACAGATGGTTTACTTTCGGGGAGGTCCGCCAAGCTATCAATACTCTGGCAAATAAAAAGGCGCCGGGGCATGACAAGATAACAGCAGAGATGGTTAAGAAGGTCTTCGAGGCGATCCCCATTGCCTTCGTTGTCCTCTACAACGATTGCCTCCATCAAGGCTGCTTACCGGATACCTGGAAGTTAGCATGCATTAAATTCATTCCTAAGACAGTCAATCCTACAGCGGAAAAAAAATACAGACCAATAAGCCTTCTTCAGGTTTTGGTTAAGGTGCTGGATGGCCTCATCGTAGGAAGGATTAACTGGCACCTAATAAGCAAGGGTCATATGAATGATGGGCAGTATGGATTCAGGCCGGAAAAATCCACAATCGATGCAATTGTGAGGGTCGTAAAAGCGCGTAGAAATTTCGACTAATTACAAACTTTAACGTCAGAAAGTTTCAAAGACAGAATCGGGTCAAGGGAATGTGTTAGTGACAAAGCCCAGATGAGACGAAAACTTTCTCGAATTGTAAAACAAACGCGACGCGACGATAAATAACAGGGGGGAATGTCGACAGAGAAAGGGAGAGCTTTGTCGAGATGCGCGCGAACAAATAGCTGGTTGAAGCAAGCGGGAGAAAGGGGGTCTAAGAACAAAAGGAATATCTGTTAAGTGAGAACGCGGTAGGGGATAAAATGGTCACAAGAACATCTGGTGGACCGTTTGGGTTCAAAGATGACAGAGAAAAGGGACATAACGGAGTAAAATACGAGCGCGAACGTTAAAGGACCGTCATCACCTCTCCGACCTTTTCCCGACCCGAATCGGTCTCGGGTTTCGCCTAGAAACAAAGGAATGACCAATCGGAGTAAGGGAGAGGGTGAAAGGGACCAATCAAAAGGGTGAGATTCGGGGAAAATCTTATAAAACCCCCGAATCTCAAGGACACGGGGCAGATTCTCTCCAAGACGCCAGGCCCGCAGCACACGGACACATACTCAAGAGGTCAGGATAGCCGAGTCTCAGCCGTGCACTGGACCCCCCAGCATCCAGAACGCCATAACCGCCGAGCACCGCCGCATCATCGGACACCTGAACTCGCATCAAGGACGCAAGATCGTCAGTAGCTACCTCATTGAGCCCCGGGGCACAGAAGAAGCGAAACCTCAGCCGGCCAACGAACTTATTTTGTTATTCCTGTTGTGTAAGTTAACTTCATGTCAAAATAAACGGTTTTCGTGTAAGACACTTGTCATCTTTGTCTCCTACCGCCACCACCCACATACGGTTTGACCCTAGGTTTTCCTGACGCGCAATTAACGTATTGCCCCCAAAATCGGCGAACTTACAGTGGTGTCAGAAGTGGGATTTTATGCCCAATTTATACCAGTTCTGACCTTACAGTTGTGTCAGAAGCTCGGGATTTAATAGTCCCACACAAAAATTTTTGTAAGTTACGCCGACAAAGAGTTTTTCTAAAAAGTGGGTCGAGCGATGGAGGCAGATGCAAGTGTCCCGACGCGACCTCGTGACGGTGGCAGTAGCGGCTCTCTTCCCTCCTTTTCCGCGTTTGGAGGATTGATCCCAACGTTTTCGGGTGAAACAGGGCGTGTCACCGATTTCTTTGACACGTTGGGAGAGATCGCTAGTCTGGCGGGATGGACCCCTCGGCAGTGCCTGAGCATAGCCAAGTGCAAGCTCACAGGTGTAGCCCGAGATTTTGCATGGCGCGACCTCAGCATGAAGAGTGTAACGGAGTTCGAAACTTTTCGGAAGCTGATGATTCAGCGTTTCGACCAAGAACCATACTCCTTACGTGTCCAGAAGTTCCATACATGTACTCAAAAACGAGATGAGATGGTTCAGGAATTCGCGGTCCGCTTGCAATCCCTCGCTAGCGCGACAAGCATAGAACAGACAGGCGCGAACGAAGAGGAGAACGCAATTATCAAACGCTGTCAACAGCGAGAACTAGACGAAAAATTACGCGTCCAATTTCTGCATGGTCTAACGGACAGGCTAAAAAGACGGGTTATGACGCATGACCCCGCGACTTTTGCCGAAGCACTTAAGATAGCTATCCGTGAAGAAACGATAGATCAATTGGCGGGAAAAACGCGAAATTTAGTTGCCGGCATCAATGATGCAGTAGAGGATCGCGACACACTGGCGGAAGAATCCAATTCGCGGAGAGAATCGGCCCTCGACGCAAAAATCGCGCAAATTTCGAAACAATTAGCGACATTAGGAAAAAGACTAGATCAACCGCCCGCGCCTAAGCCAATAAACAATTTCCAAAGGGGAGAACCCTCGCGAACAAATCGGATACAAGAAACTGATAGAGCGAATGACCGAATGCGAAACCCGCAGCATCCCCCGAGCCCGCAGCGACGCCCACCGCAACAATTTTCCCCGCGATCTCAGCCCGCTAATCCGCAAGGACAACCCCGCGCGCGATATCCTTACTACGGTCCCTTTTCGAAACAAGGTCCGATACCCCCTTGGAGAAAGAATGGAGATAGATCGCCTAGATTTCACGCTACGAATCCTAATTATTCAGAATACGGAGATTATATGCCGACGCCTCTCGATTGGTACGGAGGAAACGCTTTTTCTCAGTATCCCGGAAGGTGGGGAGTGAATCAAGAAGCTCCCCAATGGCAGATCCCCGTTAGAAAGTTGCCGAACCCCTTTAGAGTTAGTCAGTCAGAACAGATACCCTTTTCCCCTGCGCGATTTAGACAATTTGACAATGGACAAGGTATTCCATTGCCCTTTTATCCCCCGCGTTACGGTTTAGGTTGGCCCGGAAGCAGCTTCGATACGGAGCGCGCACCGAACAACGTAGCCGCCCCTCGATTTTTAGCGTTGCCCGCACCGCAAAATAGGTCCGAAGACAATAAACAAACGCGAGACTCGGACAGAGTCACATCGGTCACGTTTAGAGAACCAAATGGGGAATTAAATCGACCATCGATAGGTCCAGAGACACCCCAATTGGCAGGAATCAGTAGATCGAAAAGTAGAGAATTACCTCCTTGTACAATGGTTTGCGAGATAGAAAATAGGAAGGTTCAGCTGACGATAGACACAGGCGCAGCTGTTACTTTAATTTCTAGAGAGTTATTTCCCGATACAGCGCGATTGCCGCGAGCTGAAACTAGAATAGTAGAATTAATAAGTGTTACCGGACACGTTATCGAGACATTCGGAAAGTTTAAATTAAAATTCCAAATCGGACGTTTGACCTTTTTCCATGATTGTTATTTAGTGCACCCCGAGATCACTACGCCTAACGATGGAATCTTAGGTAGGGATATTATTCAAAAATATGACGTTACAATCTCGGTTAAGAACGCGACCCTTAGTTTCCCCTCAGGAGACACAGTGACCTTTTGGGGACTAGCCGAAATAAAAGAAAACGGAGTTAGTTCAGAATTAAATGAAAACGTTGAGAATAATCGCGAGAAAACTAGCGAAAAGAAACGCGTATCGTCGAAAGATAATTTGAATTTAACCTTAATTAGCGATAACGAAAACAAAATTATAGAAAACGCGGAGATGAAAAAGAAAAATAAACGCGCGCGAAATAAAAAGCGAAAAACGAAACGAGAGAAGTCAAAACAAACAACTATTAATAGCCTAGAGCAGGGAGGAAACGACTCTCCTAAGGAGGTGACGTTAGCCAACGATTACGTCATCCCTCCGCGGTCAGAGGTCATTGTAGAAGGGAAAGTTTATTCCCCGTTAACAGGTCAATTAGGAGTTGTTGAACCGACACCTCCCAAGAGAGAGGGAGTGTTTATTGCCTGTACATTAGTCAAAACACAAAGGCATGGTCGAGTACCTATTAGAATAATGAATGTAAAAACACAACCAGTTAAATTGGTCAGAGGAAGTAAGTTAGGAACTTTTCTCTTAGCCGAAGAGGAAACAAAAGAAAGCGCGGAACAAAATAAAATGACGCGATCGAACGAAAACGATTTAACTAGAGAGCAATTTGCGAATTTGTTTAATTTTAGCGAAGTAGGAAAGGATAAGCTGACCCCTTTATTAGATTTATTATATAAATATAAGCAAGTATTCGCGAAAGACGATTTTGATTTAGGTTATTGTGACTTAGTAGAGCATAATATAGATACCGGGAATAATCCCCCGATATGTCGTGCCCCATATCGAATTCCTTATGCCCAGAGAGAGATAATGGATGAGTTAGTGGATAAAATGATTAAAAGTGGGGTAGTAGAACCTTCTAGCTCCCCATGGGCATTTCCAGCATTGATGGTCCGTAAATCTGATTCGTCGTACAGAATGGTGGTGGATTATCGTCAATTAAATAAAATTACCCAATTAGACCCTTATCCATTGCCCCATATCCAAGAATCACTGAGTTTGTTGGGAAGAGCGCGATATTTTTCTTCCATGGACACCCTAAGTGGATTTTGGCAGATACCCTTGAGCCCAGAATCCAAGGAGAAGACGGGGTTCAGTACTCCGTCGGGGCATTATCAATACAATCGTCTCCCAATGGGGATCGCTTCCGCTCCAGCAACTTTTCAAAAAATGGCGGATTTGGTATTAAGCGGCCTGAAAAACAAGATTTGCCTTGTTTACATGGACGACATATTGGTATTTAGCCCAGATTTCGAATCACACTTGGAGAGATTGGAGTTGGTGCTCCAGCGCTTAGCTGCAGCTGGATTGAAGCTAAAGCCCCGAAAGTGTCAGATGCTAAGGCGACAAATAAAGTTTTTAGGGCATGAAGTGTCAGAGGATGGTATCCGACCCGATCCGTCTAAGATAGAGTGTGTTAGGAATTTTCCTCAACCCCAGAATGAGCGAGATGTTAGGGCATTCTTGGGATTGACAGGATATTATAGGAGACACATTTTCCAATATGCAAAAATTTCGAAACCCCTTTCGGATTTGTTAAAGAACGATGTAAAGTTCCATTGGAACCAGGAACATGAAACCGCGTTCGAGAAATTAAAGGGAATTTTGACTACAGCACCCTTGCTCAGATCCCCAGATTTTAACAGTCCTTTTATATTAGCAACAGATGCTTCCAACACAGCGATAGGTGCAGTGTTGTCACAAAAGGATGAGAGAGGAGAACTTCCTGTAGCATATGCGAGTAGATTGTTAAAACAAGCTGAGAAAAATTACAGTACCACAGAAAAGGAATGTTTAGCCGTGATTTGGTCAATTAAACACTTTAGACCCTATCTTTACGGGAGAAAATTCACCATTATCACAGATCATAGACCCCTTAGATGGCTTATTAATGTTAAAGATGAAAGTTCGAGACTTAGTCGATGGAATTTGGCGTTACAAGAGTATCAATTCGAGATAATCCATAAACCGGGTAAAGCTCACACAAATGCAGATGCGTTAAGCCGAATACCAATAGCGACGATCTGCGAGATGCAACCCATATACAGCAAGGCACAGATAAAGGAACAACAGTTAAAGGATCCTTTTTGTAGGCGAATTAGACAACAGTTAATGGGAGATCCGTCCTCCCAGGAAACAAACCTAGATACAGATTATTATTTAGATGCAGACGAAATACTCTATAATAGAAAAGAAAATCCCGAGAGAAAGGAAAAATGGGATAGAATAGTCGTACCTAAGGTTATGATAGATTATGTTCTAAAAATGTTCCATGATATCCCCAGTTCAGGACATGTAGGCAAGAAAAAGATGCGAAAGAAACTACAGACACAGTTCTTTTGGCCAGAAATGAATAAAAACATAGCCCATTATTGCGATAGTTGTCAAGAGTGTGCGATGAGGAAAAGGCCCCAACACGGACATCAAGCTCCACTGCAGACGTTCCCACGAGTGTCAAGACTCTTCGAGCGCACTGCACTGGATATCCAGGGTCCCCTTCCTATCACTAGTAACGGCAACAAATATCTATTAGTCTTTATCGATCATTTTTCTAGATGGGCCGAGGCAATCCCGTTACCCGACATTACGGCAAAAACGGTGGCAAAAGCGTTTGTCACGCAAATTATTCTCAGACATTCGGTCCCGAAGCAGTTATTAACAGATAGAGGATCCAATTTTGTTTCCAAAGTCATGAAGGAGGTATGCGAGTTATTAAAAGTAGAAAGACTTCTTACTACAGCATATCACCCCCAGTGTAACGGAATGGTAGAACGCCTTAATAAGACCCTGATAGATATTTTAACTCATTATGTTGACGCGGATCAGCGCAATTGGGATGAAATGATCCCTTATGCTCTTTTCGCGTACAATACTACTGTGCATTCGAGCACGAATGAAACGCCCTTTTTCCTTTTGTATGGACGCGATCCGACTTACCCCTTTGACATCGTTATTGAACCTAATCGACCTCGATATGATCTAAGTGAAAATTACGCGAGCGAATTGAGAGCGAGGATGGCCTCAGCTCACAAATTAGCCCAGAAACACGCAGAAAAGGCTGCGTACGATAGGAATACCTATCATCAACGTAAGCATAAGCCATATAAATTCTCAATTGGAGACAGAGTTTTCGTTAATGAGGTAGCTATACCCGCGGGAGTGAAGCGAAAATTAGCCCCGCGATGGCACGGTCCCTATAGAATAATCGCGGAAACGAGTCCTGTAGATTTTATAGTCCAACACATCCAATCCGGAAAGAAATTGCATACGCATGCTAATAGGTTAAAACCTGCAATCGCTAGGTTGGAATTCGTACCACCCGATGCAGGAGAAGGAAACCCAGATGCGAGAAACGCCGATCCGTCACCCCTAACAGAGGAACAACCTCAGACAGAACAGGTTGACCCCTGGGATGAAATTGTTTTAGAGTCACTGCAACAAAGTCAGTTAGATACCACAAACACCGCCGGAGACACGGAAGTTGAACCACCCGTGACTTCGTCGCAACCTACACACAACTATGCTCTCCGAAGTCAAGGACCGGTAAGAGAGTATCCCTGGGTCCTTCCTAAATCTTCGGGAATTGTACAACCAAAGGTGGGAGTGTTACGGGACGCGGAGGTCAACGAGATCACTCAGCGGAGTGAAGGCCTCCCGCGGCTGCCACACCCTACTCCAACTGGATTGTTCGCTGATTGTAAATGGTAGCTTCTCTTTCTTATGAAAGGGAGGGTATCATCTTCCAAATGGAGCGAGGTCTATTGTAAATACGCGTGCGCATCTAAATCAATTGTCGCGAAATCAAACTAATAATAATGTAAACTCCCTTTTTGGTAGATAACGATGGGAAAATTTATAATAATCTATTTGTTCATATTGCTGAGTCGCACTGTAAGCGACGTATCGACGATTGTACCTGCCTTAACCAAAGGTATCATATTCCTGCATCAAGGAAA